GAACATTCTCTGAGTTCAGTTTGAGTTAGACTACTAGTCAAATCATACTCAAACCAAGGAAATACCTCCTTGCTCAAAAATCCAGAATAATCCATCAATTCTCTGCACAAAAAAATGACTATTATTGTTGTCATTGCTATGAGAATATACAGCTGTATATACCAGTATTCCACCCTTCTTTAAAACCATTTGGTTATGTTTTTGGGATTTTATTGCTTTAACAGGTGATTGCTTTGGTTGAGCGGTGTGGGGTGAAACAAGCTACTCAAAGAGTGCTACTTGAGTATTTACATGACCTTGGCGAGATTCTCTACTTTCCTGATGACGACGCTCTAAAGGACATCATTGTTTTAGATCTGATGAAAATAGTCGACATGTTTAAAACAATAATAACAGTTATTGAGCCTAAACTTAGGGTAAGCTCAACTGCACACATTTACATATTATTTTGTGATGTACATTTTTTTATATAAGAACCAGTAAAGTTTTGCCCAGTCTCAGTGTGCTAATTATTTTTTTGGCCAATTTCAGGCTAAAATTGTTCATATTTTGTTCTTATTTTACACTTTTCAACGATTGAAAATTATTGTTGTACAGAGTGTACTCTTAAATCAATTTTAGCCTCCTTGTTATTACAATAAAAGTGTAGGTACATTCCCTTGTTTCAGATACTTTCTGTGATAAAAGCGTAGCACAAGCCTAAGTTAAAATGATTAAATTTCAGAAACCAAAGCACAGAGAGGCCTGGAGGAGGTTGGACTCGGGGATCTTAGAGGAGCATCTTTTGAGACACCTCTGGAAGGAGTTCTGTTTTTCAGATAAGATGTTTGACTTCTTCGTATCTCTCATGCAGAAGTTTGGACTGGTGTGCGAAAGAAAGGTACACTAGTATTTTTGAATATTATTTTTATTTTTCTATCGGTGGTCTAGTGGTTAAGATACCTGGAGGTTGTGGTTTCACTCCTATGTTTATGATATTCTCTTTTTACAATTTCTTGCTACCTACAATGCTTTCTGTTTTTTCAGGGTGGTGAACGTA